GAATGCAGGAGCAGACAGACAGCAGCATGACATCAGTTCTGTAGCACTTCTACAATGTAGATTGTGTTAAAGCAGCTTAACATGGAAGATTATAGTGAAATAAAACAGAGTCAGTCCAGTTTTCAGAGTTAATTTCTCTGTAAAATAGTTTACTCTCTTGGGTAAAATAGTCTCAATCACACTGATTACTGCACTAATGAGACTAACAGCAGCAAACACACTGCAGTAAACTGTCATTCATCTGTATATACGGCATCAGGAAGCTCTCAGAAGATGACATTATCTGACAGTATTAGTTTTTGATGTGTCTTTTAAAGATGAATGAAGGTTATAGCGTGTGTTGTTCATTGCAGAGCTCCTCTATTAAAGATAAAACCCCTGCAAGTTCTGAAAGAGATCAAGCCTCAGCAAAGCTGAGATACAGTAACTCAAAAGTAGCGTGCAGCATTACTGACCACATAACACCACTACTTCCTTTTTTTGAGAATAACTCAATATTGTAAGTCATTACATTGTGAAGTAACTTTCCCCAACTTTCCCCATGCTTGAGCCGTGTTTCTGCAGCCGTTCAGCCGTCTCTCATCCTGCTTATTATTCAGGGAAATCGTCAGCATTGTCCTCATTCTTAGTTTGGAATGTGAGCCGCCTTTTGGCTTATTTTCCTGCTTAATGCCTGTTCTGCAGTGCGATACGCTCGCCTTGTGAGAGAGCTCTGTTTGCTGAACCTTGGAAAAAACAGGGTGCGGGGAATAATAACAGGGCGATATCCTCCTCATACACACTCACTGCTTCATTCCGGACAGCTCCAGAATCAGGGAAATTATGGACGATTTCAATCAGGAGCATTTGTGGACAGTGTTATACTGAGAGAGAGTGAAGTGTGTGTGTGTGTGTGTGTGTGTGTGTGTGTGTGTGTGTGTGTGTGTGTGTGTGTGTGTGTGTGTGTGTGTGTGTGTGTGTGTGTGTGTGTGTGTGTGTGTGTGTGTGTGTGTGTGTGCAAACTTTGTATTCCCTGTGTTGTGGGGAATACAAATGTCCCCACAAGTATAGCAATACCAGTACATATTGACTTAATGGGGACCTTTTTTCAGTCCTGATGAGGGAAAGGGCTGATTAATCAGACAGAATGAAGGATTGTGAAGATGTGACAGTGCAGAGTGTGTGCTGTGAGGGTTGAGTTTAGGAGAGAATATACAGCCCGTACAGTACAAACATCACTACAGCTGTGAGTGTGTGTTTATTTATGCGTAAGAATTAGTGTGTGTGTGTGTGTGTGTACAGTATGTGTTTATGTGAGTGTGTGTTTGTGAGTGTATGTGTTTGTTTATGTATGTGCGTGTATGTGAATATGCATGTGAGTGTGTGTGTTTGTGTGTTTATGTATATGTACATTATATTTATGTGACTATGAGTGTGAATGTGTGTGTGTGTGTGTGTGTGTGTGTGTGTGTGAGTGAGAGAGAGAGAGAGTCAGGCATGTAGGAAGCATTAGCAGGTTCCTCCATCAACATGACGGGACACGACCAGCTACAGCAGGGCTGAATTAGACTGAGAGCTGCACCTGAGTGTCCGTGTACTCCAGCGGGACGCCGCTCAGCAGGAGACACACACTCACACACAAATACAGGCACACAGCCTTCTGGGAGAAAACATGTCTTCATTACAGGACTCTGCTAACAGCTACAGGCAACATAGTTAATGGCTATATATACATATAATCAATTACTATAGCTGTTGTGTTACCATAGCAACTGTAGAATCCCCACAACAGATTCATTACTATAGTGGTTGTTACCATAGCAACTGTAGAACCACTACTACAGATCAATCACTGTAGTTTTTGTTACCATAGCAACTGTACAATTAATGTAATTGTTGTGTTACCATAGCAACTGTAGAAGAACCACAATAGATTAATTACTATAGTTGTTACCGTGTGTGTGTGTGTGTGTGTGTGTGTGTGTGTGTGTGTGTGTGTGATACCCTGATGTGATCAAACTCTGCGTTGCGTAGGTGTATATGTAGTGAGTGTTTGTTTGTCTTATCCAGTGTATAGATGTACATGTCAGTGTTCTTTCTAAACTACATGATCATTTCTGTAAACACACAGTCGAGCTGCTGTCATCATGTGAATGAGAGGCTCATCCGGTGAGTCCCGTTTTTACATGCTGGTTAATTAGCATCAGGGTCTCACCTGCTCGTTAAGCAGACAGCAGTAATCACTCGCTGTGTTTAGATGAGGCTGCTGTTCACCAGAACTCTGACTGGGCGATTTACTGAACCTCACTGTAAATCTCCATCGTACATTTAGCTCGCTCAACACCAACACTGCAAACACAAAGATGGACATTTCATCTCTACAGCACACACACATGAGAACATCTGATATTCACACACTGCAGACACACAACTGGGTTTAAAGCCCTAATAAAAGTCATTTTTGTCCAACAGGTGTCCTTTAACACAAACATACTGATACTAACATCTATAAACTTTATTTTAATTTCCCTGGAGCTGTCAGATGGTAAGCATGCGCACCAGATGGCTGTATATACTGTAAATCTGGACGCTGCTGTATGAGTGATCATATATAATGTTGAAGCGTCCAGCATGTCCTCAACTCAAGCTGTATATTTGACTGGAGGTTTTTATGGTCGTCTCCAGAGCTGGTATTCTGGCTCCACATGCTGTGGTGTTGATGCGGTTTTTTATGCCCTCACCATGTGCTTTTCTCTGGGCCGTCCGCCAGTTTCTGGAGCTCCTTCATGTCCTGCAGCATCACACGGCAAATAATGCTTTTCTCACTGAGAGTTTTTATCTTGTTTCTAGTCCACTTGACTAAAAAAATGAAATTAAAATGCTGTATTGTGTGTGCTGGTGTTTTACAGAATTTTACAGACTTATTTCTCTAGATATTATTTATTATATATTATATTATCTCAAACTACTCAAATGTCAATTAAAGACACTTTGTTAAACTGTAGAGTTGAATTTTCAACAATCAAAGTGGACAGAGCAGAGATCAACATCCCATAATGCAATCCACCTCCGCCAATAAACAGAAACAGTTACCATTATATTAGCAGATAATTTTTTAAAATGTGATGGTTTTTGTTATGTTATTCTGCTTGTTTTAATGATAAACTCTCTTCATTTTGACTCATTATTTCTGTAAACAACACTATATATTGTGCTTGTCTGGAAAATGCTGACTGATTTAAGAGTTTGTAGATATTTGGACTAGAAACAAGACAGAAACTGTGAGTAAGAATGCGTTTATTTGCAGTGCGGCTCCATATTGTGCATCTGTTTCGAGTGTTTCAGACACTTGTGTGTGTGTTGTGTGTGTGTGTGTGTGTGTGTGTGTGTGTGTGTGTATGTGTTTTATCTCTTCATATATATTCCTGCTCTTCATGTAGCTGAATGATTGATCTGCATTACATCAGAGAATAAGCATTAGCTGACAGAGAAAGCTTCATGTAATCATAAATATCTCCTTCTCACAGCTCATCTGCAGATGTGAGGAAACTCTAATGCAGATGTGTCCTTAACACGGCTAAACAATCTGCTCTCACTTTGAGTTTGTGTCTTGTTTCTAGTCCAAATATCTGAACATTCTTAAAAGCATTTTCTAGACAAGCACAAAATATAGTGTTGTGTACAGAAATAATGGAGCAAAATTAAATAAATTTTTCATTAAAACAAGCAAAATAATTACAGATAAAATGAAACCCAAGTATTGTCATTACACATTAGTACATATAATTTTTTACAGAAATGTTGTGTTTATATGTATTTTTAAAGCTTGTATGTATTATATTGATTAATCGTGCTGTGTTTTTATCAAAAAGTGACTGTTTTACTAATCGGTTCAGTGACTGCAGATGAAAAAAATATCCTTTTGTCATGTTCTGGCACATTTCATATTTTTATATTATTAACTTGTATCGTCCCTGTCAAATAAACCTGAAAATAAATAAATTAATTAATTAATTAATAATTGAATGAATGAATAAATAAGTAAACGAATGAATAAATAAATAAATATATAAATAAAAGACAGTGTATTCATTCATTCATTCACTTACTTTTCTCCAGCTTAGTCCCTTTAATAATCAGGGGTCGCCACACCGGAATGAACTGCCAACTATTCCAGCATATGTTTTACACAGCGGATGCCCTTCCAGTTGAAACCCAGCACTGGGAAACACCCACACACACTCATTCACAGGTCGCTGGTTCGAGCTCCTATGGGTCAGTGTGTGTTTCTGTGTGGAGTTTGCATGTTCTCCTCGTGTTGGCGTGGGTTTCCTCCGGGTGCTCCGGTTCAAACACATGCACTATAGGGGAACTGATCAACTAAACTGGCCGTAGTGTATGAGTGTGAATGAGTGTGTATGGGTGTTTCCCAGAGATGGGTTGCAGATGGAATGACACCCGCTGTGTAAAGCATATGCTGGACAAGTTGGCGGTTCATTCTGCTGTGACAACCCCAGATTAATAAAAGAACTAAGCTGAAAAGAAAATGAATGAATGAATAAATAATGTATAGTAAATACTGTAGGGTTTTTGAACAATAGTAAAGACAAGGGCTTGAATGAATCTGTTGTGGTGATTCTACAGTCACTATGGTAACACAAGTATAGTAATATAAACAAATGAGCCAATACTGTAGTGTTCTACAACTACACTGTATATTATAGGCCTACTATATCACCCTATAGTGCAGTAAAACTAAAGCACACTGCAGTATTTATTACAGGTTATCAGTTCACTATAGTTAATTCTAAATATGCTGCAGCATTCATTCATTTAAAGTTGTTGATACTAGAATTGCCATACTTTAAAAAATGTATCTTGTAAATGTGGATGGCTGTAGATGTAGTTTTGGTGATGGAGCTGTTGCGCACAGGGAACGCGCAGACCTGATGACTGTTCACAGCAGTGTGTGTGTGTCTGTCTCTCTCTCTGTGTGTCTGTGTGTGTGTTTAGGGTGGGACTGAAGGAGGCAGTAACTTTCCCCCCTCCAGCATCACACACACACACACACGCGCGCGCACGCACACACTGACAGCTCCAGCGGTATGTTTGGAGTTTCACAGCGTGTTTGCGCGCGAGTGGAGCAGCTCCACAGGTAAGATCAGCTCATTCTCTCTCTTCATCTGCTTTCTCTGTGTCGGAGGGAAACACAACAGCTGCTCGATTAGTGTTGATTAGTTAATGAGCTGCAGCGTGTGGTGTTCAGCTCAGTGTTCTGCTCCTGCAGAGACTGCACTCACTCATTATAGAGACGCGACACACGCAGAGCACTGCTGCAGATCATTTGTGCGTTTATTTGTGCTCTCTCTCTCTCTCTCTCTCTCTCTCTCTCTCTCTCTCTCTCTCTCTCTCTCTCTCTCTCTCTCTCTCTCTCTCTCTCTCTCTCTCTCTCTCACGCGCGGTGCTGAACCTGCCGTCATCATCATCATCTGTTCTCGTGTCTCTAGTATGAGAGGAATCACGACGAGCTTGATCGGGCTTGTATCTAGAGAGTGTGTGAGAGAGAGTGTGTGTATGTGTGTGTGTGTGTGAGCGAGAGAAAGAGATTTTAACACTTTATTATACATATTACTACATTAACTATACAACTAAGCCAAAGAAAAAGTAAAAACTATCTGCAAAGTGTGTATATGACTGTGAGTGCGTGTGTGTGTGCGTGTGTGTGTGTGTGTGTATATGTGTGTGTGTGAGAGAGAGAGACAGAGAAAGTAAAGAGTGTGTGCATCTATGAGACAGAAAGGGAGAAGGTGTGTGTGTGTGTGTGTGTGTGTGTGTGTGTGTGTGTGTGTGTGTGTGTGTGTGTGTGTGTGTGTGTGATGAAGCGCTGTAGAGACTTGTCTGTCTGCTCAGCTTCTGCTGTATGAACTCTTTCTAGATGACAAATGTGTGTGTGCATCCATTACACACACACACACACACACACACACACACACACACACACACACACTGTTTGTTTTACATTCATAATAAACTGAAGATGCTCACAATCGAAAACATGCTGGGTTGTATTAACCCAATGCTGGGTCACATATGGACAATCCCAAACATTGGCTTATTAATATTATTCATTCAGTCATTCATTTTCCTTCAGCTTAGTCCCTTTATTCATCAGGGGTCGCCACAGCAGAATGAACCACTAACTATTTCAGCAAATGTTTTACACACAGAGGCCCTTGTAGCTGCAACCCAGTACTGGGAAACACCCATACACACTCATTCACACACACACTCATACACTACGGCCAGTGTAGTTGATCAGTTCCCCTATAGCGCATGTGTTTGGACTGTGGGGGAAACCGGAGCACCCGGAGGAAACCCACACCAACACGAGGAGAACATGCAAACTCCACACGATCGTGCTACCCACTGCGCCACCCATTATTATTACCACTATTATTATTAACTGCTGGGTTTGTCCATATTTGACTCAACGTTGTGTTAAAATAACCCAGCTCACACATTTCTGACCCTGTTTTGTGCCGTTCATTTCCACTATTCTCTGTATATAAATCTGCAAAAGATACAATAACCTATGATGACATGGTAAAATAGGGTATTAAAGAATAGAGATTTACTAAAGAGTTTAGCCCAGTTCTCCTAATTCTGCTGTCTGTAATTGAGTGACTGTGATTGATTGTCTCGACTGGAGTAAAGCCGCGGTCACACTCGAGTTGTGCGTGTGAAATTCTGTCGTACTGCGATGCTAAAAGGGCCGGGATTAAACATTATGATTAGACATTTAATAAAGCGAGTGATTGCTGCATGTGTACATTTCTGTGCAGAGAGGTCATGTTTTGATCCTCAGTTGGTCTCACGCAGTCATTTCACAGGTCAGAGTTCACCAAGCTTGATCTTTGCACTGCGGTGAACTGAGAAACTTGTCATTTCTGGTCTGATGCAGTTGCGTGTGTATGAATAGAAGTCTATGGGGAGAAATGTGCAGTGTGACCGCAGCCTATGATGTCCTGGACAAGATGAATGAATGAGGTAATACTAATAAAAGTGATTTGATTTCATTAGACTTTATTAATTTAGCTATTTTGTTCTATTTGCATAAAATAAGTTAAGAAAATCGATTGACATGAGTGTAAATATGTCATAATTAAATTAAGTTACACTGTTGATTTATTTTAATGAGTGCAGTAATTAGTAACCCCCTAATTGTTAGCCTCACTTTTTGAACATGAAAATGACACGTTCACCTAAAATGATTGTGAGTCTTCAACACTTTTGCGCATAAATTAAAGCTTGTTCTCCCTTTAAAGATAAGCGATGTCAGATTAGCCAAAGTGAAGAATAGTTAGACAAGTTAAAAGCAAAGTTATGCAGCTTAATGTTTATGAAATTCAATAAATGTACTTTTTATTCTATTACTGAAAATATATATTTTAGGTTTAATATGACAGAAATCTAAGCTAAATAACTGAATTAAATATATTAAAGATGTATTTTTGATATCTCCAAAAATGAGCTGTCAGTGAGATCTAGTTTGGCTGCAGTACCAGACATGACCACCAGGTGACATGCAGTTTTCACTGGTGAACGAACAAGAGCGTCCCCTATGTTATGAGCAATATGAGCTGTATTTTTTCACACTTTTGACAATATTTGTTAAGTAGACATCAAATTCTAATAGTGTGTGCAGTGTGGTGGTATTTGATTAGATTTAGCCTCTAAAAACATCTAAAAATGTGGATTGCTGTAGCAAAGTAATGCTTCACATCTCTGACGAGGATCCTTGAAACTGAAAATAATAAATAGCTGTTGCTCAATAATATCTAGCAAAAATCAAGTCAGCAGATTTGGAAATTAGACATTTTAGGCTTTCCACTGATATACAGTTTGTCATGAATGTAATGAATGAGTAATGAATGAGTGGACCAGGACCAGTTAGATGAGGATTATTATGGGATATCAGGCCGTTTCTTAAACTAACACGTGATTGTTGAGGAGATTTTCCCGCTCTAGGCACCAGCTGCCACTGATCTCTGCTTTAGCTGTGTGTTCAGTCTTGTGATTCAACACATTTAAACAAGCTTTCTATCCCTGTCTAACGTTTCAGTGCACCGAGCGGCCCGTAAAGCTGCTGTATGTTTGTTTCTGACTCTTCTAAAGCATATAATCACTATAATATGTTTGCAGATATTAAGAGTCATGCTAACTGATCTGAATTGTTTATCTGGATATCAATGCTGAAGTCAGCTTGTGCGTTCAGTGTTGGAATATCTGTCTTTGTTTTGATCTGTAACTCCGCCTACTGCCAGTGTAGCCAATTGTATTCCAGCATCCAGGTTGCCTTGGTGACAATGGGTGTATTTTATTTGAGGGCTCTTTTCATCTGTAATGTCTTTTGAAGAGTGGGTTTGTCCATATCCAGACAAAGTCCAAATTATTCAATCTCCTGTCCAATAGTTATTCTTTTTCAATTATTCCCCAAATTATGTTAAACAGATTCAGGAGTTGTTCACAGTATCATCATTTGTTTAAGTGAGAGTACACCCAAAAATGTAAATCCCATCATCGTTTTCTCACCTTTCACTTTTTATTTCTTCTTTTGAGCACAAATGAAGATACTTAGAAAAATGCTGGCAATCTGTAACCATTGACTTCCACAGTATTTGTATATTTGTTTTTCCTAACATGGAAGTCACGGGTTTTCAGCTTTCTTTAAAATATAAAAACCCAGCATGAGTTCAGCCTGAGTTCCTCTAGTGGTTAAATCACTGTGGTAAATGCTCCTGCTGTACCGCGGTGTGTCATTCAGCTGTTTAATGGAGACTGATGCCTTCGTTTGGGGCCAGAAAAAGCCTCTGTGCTTCAGAAAGGTGCAGCTGAGGTCTTCATCACAGCCAGATTAACACACAACGTTTCCTACATTGTTCGCTTCAAGCATATATTTACTGAGGGGAAATACTGAGGTTAAAAAATTTACAAAGGGTTAAAACTTCCTCAAGCATCAGTTTTCTGCTGTGTGTTTTCTTTTTGCACAGAATAAACAGAGACAGAAGGTGTTTATTTACAGACTGAACAGTCACTGTGAGTCCAGTGTGCATCAATTAAAGGCTTCACTAGGGTAATTAGGGTAAAGTTAGAGTAATTAGGCAAGTCATTGTATAACAGTGGTTTGTTCTGGAGACAATCCAACACTAATATTGCTGAAGGGGTGAATAATATTGAGCTTAACATGACTTTAACACTATTAAAACTGCTTTTATTCTAGCCCAAAAAAACAAATCAGACTTTCTCCAGAAGAACAAATATTAGAGGAAACACTGTGAACAACTCATATTTATTTATTTATTGTGTATTAATTTATTTACTTTTAATTAGATGTTTACTTAAGGCAGAGTGTGCAATGAGTTTATTCTGTTGAACAAAAAAGAAGATTTTTGGAAGAAAGCTGAAAACCTGTAACCATTGACTTCCACAGTATTTCATTGTTTACAGGTTTCCAGCATTCTTTAAAATATCTTCTTTTGTGTTCAGCAGAAGAAAGAAACTCATCAAGGTTTCGACCCACTTGAGAGAGACTAAATTTTGAGTACATTTACATTTTCAGGTGAAATATATTTTCAATAAAATCATAAAATAACATCTAAATGCACTGTGCACTGAGCCAGATCAGATAAACAATCCCTCCGTCATATTAATCTGATGTATTTACTGTTAATATAGAGTCTTAATGTGACTGCAGGTGTGAGATTATTAACCTCAGTCTATCCTGCATGTTTAAAGTTGCTGCTTAAATTAGACGTTCATCAAAGGAAGCCACACAACGTGTTCCAACCACGAACAAAATTAGCACTCGATCAGAGCCAAACATCTTCCTGAATGTGTAATGAGGATAATTGAGGAGTCAACAAAGACAAGCATTTCAGAAGAGATTCCCTGCAGTTTCCCATCAGCATAAAGATTGACTCTTACTCAGAGTGTCTGTCTTGTTTCTAATCTAAATGTCTACAAATACTTTAAGCAAGAAGCCAACAGAATAATAATACTGCATAATTAAGTAAAAACTCACTTAATTTTGACTCATTTCTGAAAACAAGACAAGCTTGTCTAGAAAATGCTTCTTGATGTCAGAGTTTGTAAATATTTTGCGGTGTATATGGATGTAAAATGTACTGCACATGTATTATAGCATCCTCATTGTGACCCATCTCAATATCAGCCCCTGCTTCTGTCAGTGAACGCTTAATATTAGTTGATCACTTATTTTAAATCTCAAAAACAGGTCACCATTCACTGCCATTATCTGAACAGATTCAGCTCAAAACCTTCTGTAATGTTCTACTGAGGTCTCCTGCATCTCGGATGAGCTGTGGCTGAGTAAATTAACAGGGAATTTTCGTTTTTGGGTGAACTATCCCCAAACCACAGAGCTTACCATAAAGCCGGGGTTTTCACCAGGCCTGCCATTAAGAAAGCAGTTTATATAAGAGCAGCGCACAGAAATACATGATGAATGGAGCAAATCTGCATCCCTGAAACAAAGCAGCTAAAATAAGATCCTCAGCACTCCTCATCTGCTGTTTATTGTTGATTACAGGAACAGAAGAGCGTCTTCACAGCAGATCTGACTGCATTTACTGGAGATTACGTCAAGATGAGTAAAGCAGCGCTCTCCGCCATCTGCATCGGTAGGCTTTGCTTTATTTCTTGCGTTAGTTTTATGCCCATATTTGGACTAGAAACCGGACAAAAGCATGCATAAATACATGTATACTCAATATAATGTTACAGCAACACAAGTTACATGATATAAGATATATTGTGAGTGTTTCCATGCATAAAACAGCCTTAGATTAACAACGGCACTGCTATGTCATAAGTTTACATCCCCTTAAGTTACCAAATAGCAGTTCAGACTTGTCTAGAAGAGTCTTATGATTGTGTTCATTGTCTTCAGAGACGACATTAGGTGTCTGTTGTCTGATAATGTGCTGGTGTGTTTTCCAGCATTACTGCTGACCTCCAGTGCAGCCAAACCAAATGGAAAGAGCAAAAAAGCAAAGCAAGGTAATAAACCTGCTGACTGTGGAGGGAATCCGTGCTTTCAGCATCACTATACATGCAGATATTCACATCACAAGATCTGAAATGTTGACTGATGATAATAGCTGAGGTTTGATTGAAGAGTTTACTATTAATGCAAGGAAGGTTTATCATGTGTTTGTATTCCAAGAGTGATTTGAACAGGAGTAATTGTAACATCTATCAGCTGTGTTTGATTAGGGTTTGCTTGAGGATTAAAGTGAAAGTGAACGCTCTGGTTGTAATAGTGTGTGTTCCTGCAGTTGTTCCAGCTGTAGACTGTGACATGCGCGCAGGGAAAGTCAATCTGCCTGAGTTTATGGTCAAGTGTCCCGCAAACTGCAGAGAGACCAAAGAGAAGGTGTACGGCACCGGGGTGTTCGCCTCCATATCCAGCATCTGCAACGCTGCCATTCACAGGTGAGCTCTTATTTATAAACTAATGTCGAGAGGATCACGTGCTTATGATTGAACACAGCTGGTCATGCATTATCTAATTCATGATTCAGCCACTATAAATACCCTCAGCTCCATATCACAGCCATCTTAGTCTTGAAGAATCCCCCCTTCCCCCCTACTCCTCCTCCTGTCCTAGATGGGTGGCACGGTGGCCCAGTGGTTAGCACTGTTGCCTCACAGCAAGAACGTCACCGGTTCTAATCCTTACCAAGCCAGCTGACGATTCCGTGCGGAGTTTAAATGTTTGCTCCGTGCTCGTGTGGGTTTCCCCTGGGTTCCCCGGTTTGCTGCCATCATCCAAAAACATGCAGCTTAAGTTAATTGACTAATCCACATCAGCACATAGACATGCTGCTAGTCAGTGGTTATCTTTTAAGAGTGATCACTATCTGTTCATCAGCTACTACAGCAGGGGAGTTCTCCACATCTACCTGAGCTCAGAAGATCCTTAAGCCCAGGGCTCCCTCCCATTTGCAGGGCGAGAGGGGAGTTTGAGCTCAAGTAGATGTGGAGAACTCCCCTGCTGTAGTAGCTGATGAACAGATAGTGATCGCTCTTAAGAGAGAACTACTGACTAGCAGCATGTCTATGTGCAGATGTGGATTAGTCTCTCTCCAGGGACAGCATGCCAAACACGCTTTATAATCACTCATCAGCTGAGGGTGAACTCTAGAAACATATTTTATGAGGATGCTGAACACTCATCTGATGTATGGTTTAAGACAATATTTGGATGTAATCTGAACTCTGAGGGCTCAAATAAAATATTTATCAATATATAAATATTGAGAAAATCGCCTTCAGAGACTATCAAAGCAAGTTCTTGGGAATGCAATTGAAAGATAAAGGTTTGATATTGTGACTGTACACTCTCAGAAATAAAGGTACACAAACTGTCACTGGGGTGGTTCCTTTTCAAAAGCTACACATTTATACTTAAAGGGTCCATATTGGTCCCTCAAAAGTATATATTAGTACCTAAACATTTTAAGTGGAACACTTCTGTACATGTTAGGTACTAATATGTACCCTTCAGGTATTAATATGGACCTTTTAGGTACAAATTTGAAAAGGTATTTGTTTTGGAAAGGTTCCACCCAAGTGACGGCTCTCGTACCTTTATTTCTGAGAGTGTAGGATATTTACGAAATATCTTCACCAAGCATAATCTTTACTCAAAGTTCCAATATTTTTGACCTTAAATCAATATCATACAACGGGTAAAAAAACAACAAAAAAAAGAGTTCAGTCAGTTTTCCTGTTTGTTCTGTCCATTATAACATCACTAGTAAATTGGTAGAATCCTGCAGCGTCATTCCAGTTCATTTACAGCAATGTACAGTTGTGTGAAATGGAGAGCAGTTGGTCTTTCCTGAGGGTTATTTACTTCAATAAGGGTATTTTAATATTGTACACCTGCTGACTCTCCTGATAAGCTCTCTTTAGTTGTTGTGGTGCCGGGATAAAACTTTACAAAGCATTCCTCACCTGTCCTAACACGACCGAGCAGTTTATGAGCCATTTTCTCCGTTTTTTATCGGTCAAAGTGTGGGAATCCTGCATATGAGCCTGCAGATCGACCTCAGCAGACGGAATTCATCAGAGATTACAGAGCTTCAGTCATCACGGCTGTTCAGTTTAATCACAACATCCTCAGAGGTGTAGAGGAAGTGTTCAGATGAAGACCTCGGCTTCAGACTCTGACTGAGAAACTGTTGTTGAGTAACACAGGGGCCGTTTCTTATCTCTTACTCAGGTGTGCTGGTTAGGGCACATGTGGATTGATGAGATTTGGTTCATCATCATGTCATAGACCAATTCCAGAGTTCACAGTGTATCCTATAGTTATTATTATTATTATAATAATTATTATTATTATTATTAGTTTGCAGCTTTACATTGTGTCAGATGTGAGATGTTGTTGTGCTGATTGTAAAAGGCCTCAGTCCTCTGTCAGTCCGGCATCACAGTGCTTCAGTATTATTATTATTCCCTCCAGAACTGTCTTGAGCATCTGTCTGCGCTCCCGTCTCACGCCTCCAGAAGCCGCCGCGTTCATTATATTTGGTCTTGGTGTTCTTAAGCGCAGCTCATTTATTAGAGGAGAGCAAACACCCCAGTGGAGAATCCCCACAGTGCAGCACACTCCACTCCTCTCTGCTGTATTTCTGAGCGTGCAGCAGGGCTGAGGAGTTCATGCTCTTGTGTTTCTGGAAATGAATTATTTGCAAGTCTTTTATTTACAGCACACACATCTAATCTGCATCTTTAAATGGAAGTGTTGACTCAGTTGATTAGATTTATCATTAGTTAAATGCAAGGTTAAAAGTTGAGCTGTAGGAGTAATTCAGCTCGTAAACTAACAGATCCCTCCTGTGTGGTGTTGTTCTGTGATTGTGTGGTCAGTGGCGTGATCACCAACTCTGGAGGAAAGGTGATCGTGGCCAAAACAGCAGGACAGGCGATCTACAAGGGCAGCTTCGCCAACGGTGTGCGGTCTCTGTCTTTACCCACCTGGAGAGAGTCCTTCTCCGTCTCAGGTACTGTAGACTATTCAGGTTCACTTCAATAGCACTTTCACAATAGCTATTGTTTCAGAGCTGCTTTACAAACGGTGCAGATTATTACATTACACTCACAATCTGAAAAGTTGAGGTTATTAGTTACCATCGACCATTTCAGTGATGTGATCTGCCCATGGACATTTCCTGCTTATTATCAAACTATTTCATAACTGTAACAAGAGGCAAGTCAGTCATAACTGTGTTAAATCAGCTCTCATGACATTATTTATGAATATATGGCTCTTTCTGGATTCTTGTAAATATTAAACATGTACAACAGGAGATACATTGGGAACATTGTTTTCGTTTACATCCCTCAACGTGGTCTATAGCTTTATTAGCAACTAACAACTTCAAATAACTAATAACTAATTACTAATACCTTCATCAGTCAAAGTTATTGTAGTTAATCTGCAGTTATATAGTATATAGGTGATGTCTGTGTACATGTTTAATGGAGTGCATTAGGTGTTCTCCATAGTCGGCATCATCTCTTCGCTGGTCTTGGATCTAATCAAGTGATGAGCATCCCCAGGTGGAAAGAGAAAGAAGAAAATAATTAGCGTAGCTGCTGTTCATAATGTATTTAAATAAGAGATATAACTATAACTGTGCTATAACTGAAGATAGCAGTCATATAAACAAACATAGAAACGAAGATGTAAAGCATTTGAGTATTAAATGCATTAGGTGTGTTAGAGTGTGTCCTACAGGTGGTTTGTCAAGCCCACTCACCTGCATAGAGCACACTCATGCATCATACTGTTATGTGCTGCAGTATGTGTGTGTGTGCTTTACTAAAGAGATGGGTCTTTAATGTAGTGTTGAGTTGAGAGAGTGTGTCTGAGCCTCGACATCATCAGGAAGGCTATTGCAGAGTTTAGGAGCCATAAAGGAGAAGGGTCGACCTCCTTTAGTGGACTATTGCATAACAAACTCACATTACTGATGTTTTAAACGTTGCTTACGAACTTTTACTTACAAACTTGTTTTTTTGTGCCAGTTGGTAAACCAAAGAAAGGGGTGACCTATCCATCCACGCTGGTCTTCGTCACTTCAAGACCCTCCTCAGGTAAAACAGGTAAGTGCTACTCTCGTCATCTCATGTCTAAATGTGGCTCACGCATCCATGCAAAAAAAAATAAAAAGCACTTTATTTTAAGGAACAGATCTTGCTATAAATAAACCATTAACTATTACTTTTAGGTCCTAATTTGCTGCTTATTAGTTATTAAATTTGGGTTTAGGTATTACAGTGCTTTGTAGGTATTGTAAAGTGTTTCTTTCTTAGAGTTTTTGTCTTGTTTCAAGTCCAAATATCTGAAAACTCTTAAATCAAGAAGCATTTTCTAGACAAGCACAGAATATAGTGTTGTTTACAGCAATATTGAGTCAAAATGAAGTGAATTTTCCATTAAAACAAGCAAAATAATCTGCAATAGGAGAAGAAATAAAATCTTATGTCAAAAAAAAAAAACAAGCTTATTTTGCTTAGTTTTGCGTAAAACTGAAAATTTACAGATATTTTTACAGTGGTTTTATTTTTTAAAAGAGCTGGGATGAGGGTGGAGTCCATACTTTGTCAATTAACTAAACACTTTAATCATTAAGTCATTTACAGACATTATAATGGAATTAATCTGTCTGTATAGTAGTTTGCAGAATGTCTTTAATGATGGATGTAGCTGTACAGTAGAGCAGTTCATCATTTATTCCTGTTTCCTAAGGAGAGTCCAAAGATCTGCCGTACACTACTGCATCGCTAGTGACAGAGGCTGCAGAGGCGGAGCCAAGCACCACTACAACCCCGCCCACCACCACCACCACCACTACCACCACCCCGCCGACCACGACCACACCCACCACAACATCAGCCAAACCACGGGCCACCGTTCATAGAGTCCGCGAGGCAGGTGAGCCTTCAGTCTGATGCCTTAATGAAACATCAGTCTCTGATGATCAGACGCATCCACCCGTTTGATCTGGGGTCAGTTTTTCAGTACTGTGCATCACTACTGGACCATACACCAGGTTTCCCTCTCTCTCCGTCCTCTTTCCTCAGTACTGGCAGGTTTTTACAACGATTTTGAAGCATAATATACAACACTAACCCAGACAATATATCACTACAGAATAAAAATGTTATACAGTATATAAGGTTTATTTGCGGTGGTGAATTGCATTATGGGATGTTGATCTCTGCTCAACTCTGCAGTTTAACAAAGTGACTTTTAATGACTTTTTAGTCATTTGAAACAATATAATGTATAATAAACAATATCTAGAGAAAAAAGTGTGTAAAATAGCAGTGCTGCAGTTTATTTCAAGCTTTCTGTGGTGTAATATACAACACCAGCACACACAATACAGCACTGCACACTGTTACACATGATCAGAAAAGACACTTTATACTGTTCAAGGTTAAAAGTCGTTGCAAGAATGATCAAGATCCCATAATGCACTTCAGAAGCAGAAATAAAGAATAAAAACCAATCCTACAATATGAAAGGCGTCTCTCATAATCAGATCTCTTGTCTCTGAGGATCAGATGCTCTCATCTGTTTGTTCTGGGGTCAGTTGTTTAGTATCGTCTTCAGATGAGCATCCCTGCTGGACGATACGCCTCAGCTTTTCCTCCTTCAGTGTGTAAATAAACGTGTTTCTCTCTGATCTAGGCAGCAGTCACCCGTATTTCAGCTCTCTTGCACGTAAGTCTTCGCCGCTCCCTCGTGTGGCTCCTGTGGCTGCGCTCTCGTTTCGTTTTATTCCTGCTTTCCGGGTGTGTTTCTGAGTGTTTACAGAGCTGCTGGTCTCTTAAGTGTCTCTTTGGTTTTGTGTTATTGTAGCAACCGTCTGTGTCTGATGGGGTGTGGATGGTGTTTTACTGACAATCGCTTTCTAAGTTCAATCCACTTTAAAGTCAGCATGAAGCAAGGTTTTACTTCACAGCGTGATGACAGAGAGACATTTAATGAAAACAGAATTTTATTCACCAAGAATAAAAAATGCTAAATCTGAGGGATTTGTGGTTAGAGAAACACGTTTCACAGGCAGAGCCGGCGCCAGCCAAGTGTTGATGATGATGCTGATGATGATGATGATGGGGCGTCTGTACCAACAGGGGGCGATCACACTAATGCATATAGTACTCCCAGCTTAAGATGTTGTGTTCCTTATACTTTAACGCACCATAAAACCAACAGATCACTGCTATAACAACATGCAACAAACAACTTCTTTATACAAATGAAAAACACCTAGACCTACATATTAAAAACCCATAATCATGGATAAATAAGCAAGTCTTAGATCAACAGATGTGTGTGTGTATATATTGTTGAAGCCAGAATTATTAGCTCCCCTTTTAATTTTCTTTTTTATTATTTCCCTGATGATGTTGAACAGATTCAGGAAATGTTCACAGTATGTCGATAATATTTGTTCTTCTGGAGAAAGTCTGATTTGTTTTATTTGGGCTAGAATAAAAGCAGTTTTTAATAGTGTTAAAGCCATGTTAAGGTCAATATTATTGGCCCCTTCAGCAATATTAGTGTTGGATTGTCTCCAGAACAAACCACTGTTATACAATGACTTGCCTAATTACCCTAACTTTACCCTAATTACCCTAGTGAAGCCTTTACATGTCACTTTAAGCTGAACACATCAGTTATTAACACTGTTATGATTTGAAATGCGCTGGAGAAATCTGCTCTCTGTTAAGCAGAAATTGGGGAAATATAAACCGGGTGGGGGGGGGTTATAATTCAGTGTGCGAATAATTCAGACTTCAACTGTATTTATGCATCAATTCAGAAGTTTTTCTGCTAATTCATGAAGCAAGCACATTACCACATCAACAACATCAAAAGCATGTTTAACCCTACAAGTTTATTTAACCCCTTAACTCTCGCCGCCACTTTATGAACATAGACATGAAAATGACATGTTCAACTTGAAATATTGTCAATCTTCAACGCTTTGGTGCACAGCTTGGTCTCATTTTACAGAAGACAGATGTCAGATAGTAGCTGGAGTGAAAAAGATTCAGAAAGTTAAATAGATAACAAGTGATGTGTCTTAATGTTTATCGAATTAATCAATAAATGTATGTGTTACTATAATAAACGAAATGTTCATTTTACAAAATACAAAAAAAGTTTTAGCCTAAAATTAACGATAAATAAAGCTACGTATAAGAACAAATTATATTAAATAAACTAAGTTGATATCTCTAAAAATTTGCCTTCAGTAGAATTTTATTTGGCTGCAGTTCCAGACATGACCACCAGGTTTCAGTTTACATTGGTGACATAGGGCGTCATTGTGTTTTGAGAAATATGACCTGTATTTTGTCTTACTTATGACAATAATAGTAAAGTAAACATCATATTCTAAAGTAGTACGTCACCTCTGAAATCATATAAACACTTACATGTGGATTGCTGTAGCCAAGTAATGCTTTACAACTCCTTGACTTTCCTTTTCCAAATAAATAAATAACTGTTGCTCAGTAATAACTATCAAAAATCAGCCAACAGATGTGAAAACTAGACATTTAAGGCTTACAAATGCAATATAGTTTGTTATGATTGTTTTATGTTTAGACTACAATGTTATGTTTTGAATATGTATCCTTAAAAGAACTTAAAATACGCATTCAGTAGTCTTAGACCTTTCCAACTGTATGCAGTCTGTCATGACTAGATTACGATTTAATAGCTAAAACATTGATTCTGTTCAATGAGTGAAGCAAAATTGGCTATTAAACTGTCCTAAACTCAAAGGTTGATATTTTAGCTTATTGCTTACTTTAGGAAATCAGTGCAGTAGGGTCATTTTCTTTCAGAACAGCACATTTTATTATTAAAATCTGTTTTGAATAATGGTAATCTGAATAATCTGAGGGGGTGGGTTAATAATGACACCCTGCATGGCGCCAGCAGTACAGTATATGGACAGTAAAATGACAAGCATTGATGAAGTCTGTATAAACTCAAGCTTTCATGCTGACTCTAAGGTTGCTGTAACAGTTGACTATAAGAGACAGTGAAACATGTAGTGCTTCATTACCTCTGTCCTCTCTAAACACTGCATGCAGGACAGTCTCAGAGCGTCCAGGGGAAGGCTCCCACTCAAGGTACGTCCTGCTTAGATCATCTCCACCTTTCTCACCTCTTCTCTCAGTAGTGAAAAGCTCAAACTCTAACCATAACATCTGTCTGAAGCCTTCAGAGGGAGCTCCGTCTATGCCAGTAGGTTTTTACCCCGCACAAACACAGGTAAAGCACATTATTTATCCTTTTCTTGTGATTTTCGCTCGCTGTGTTGAAGTTTTTTCTGTGTTCAAGCTATTTTGTGTCTAATAGACGTTAAAAGATCCCCCACAGTCCAAACACATGCGCTATAGGGGAACTGATCAACTACACTGGCCGTAGTGTATGAGTGTGTGTATGTGAATGAGTGTGTATGGGTGTTTCCCAGTACTGTGTTGCAGCTGGAAGGGCATCCGCTGTGTAAAACATATGCTGGAATAGTTGGCGGTTCATTCTGCTGTGGTTACCGCTCATTAATAAAGGACTACGAAAGGAAAATGAATGAATGAAAATAAGAAAAAAACAGTCAGTTTGGGAAAAAAACACTTTTGTGTGTGTGTGTGTGTGTGTGTGTGTGTGTGTGTGTGTGTGTGTGTGTGTGTCTGTGTGTTTTTCCAGTGATTTAGACGCAGTGTGTGTTTGTATTGCAGGTGTGCAGCGTCCAGAGATGAGCGCCACCGTCCGCAGACAGCCGGCTCCGTCAGCTCCAGCCTCAGGTTCAGCAATCCTTCATTCAGTTCAGTCTTCATTCAGTAGCAGCTGCAGGCATCAGCTCTTGCTTTCTGATCTGTTGGATGTTTTTTCATCTGCTTCACATGTTAAGGAGCGTACAGTCGAGGTCAGCCGCCATCTGAGAGGAAGCAGCACACGCCGCAGTCTAATCCCGGTGCGTTTCTGTTAGCGGCGATACACATCAACACTATATCAGCATATACTGCACTGTATGAGTGTATATTAGCACAACTGACACACCTGCACTGCAAAACATGGGCTCTTATTCACAGTTTCTAGTCTAAAATATCTAAAAATAGTTAAATCAAGAAGCCTTTTGTAGACAAGTAAACAATATTGTCTTCTTTTCAGAAATAATGAGTAAAAATAAAGTGAATTTTTCCTTAAAACAAGCAAAATAATCTGACGATGAAAAGGAAAACCTCACTTTGTTTTGACATACTTTCTCTTAGAACAAGTTAATAATGTTCACTTGTCTACTAAATGCTTTTTGATTTAAGAGTTTTTAGATATTTGGACTAGAAACAAGACAAGAACTGTGTGCAAAATATACTTGTAGTATCTACAACAGCGGTGCCCAAACTCGGTCCTGGAGGGCCGGTGTCCTGCATATTTTAGTTCCAACCACAATTAAACACACCTGAACCAGCTAATCAAGCTTTTTCTAGATATAATAAGAAACTTCCAGGCTAGTGTGTTGAAGGAAGTTGGAGCTAAGCTATGCAGGACACCGGCCCTCCATGACCGAGTCCGGACACCCCTGATCTAGAAGCATCAGGTGAAACTGTAATTAACCACTTTAGATGTTTGCAATTCTACCACATAAACACCTTGGGTTATTTTACTAGCAGTTGTACCAGTTTGTGAAACCACCAGTGATGTCAGCGAAGGGATGATGTACATCCAGCCGGTGGTTATCACAGAATACAGCACTACAGGTTTATCAGCAGCTCTCCTGAAGGGTTTATTTAGTGATAACAACCGGCTGGATGTACATTATGCTGATTATTACATGACTACTTGTCACAAAACTAAACAATTACAAATAAAACATTGATCTGAGCTGTAATCGTTTACTATTTATTGACTAATTTGCTAGTTAATTAAAAGCAAGTCAGTCCAGTTTTGCATGATGGAAGCAACAGAAAAAGGCAAAGGATTGCATAAAAGTGTAAACATCTGACCATCTTTAACCTTTTATTAAGCAAAAATCATATTTGGTAACTTCATTGACACTGATTACTATATCATTTTAACACCGATTAACACTCCAGGGTGTTCCAATACATTTTTCAGCAGGTGCCCTATAAAGATGAATCTATAATAATGCATCGTTGCATTTATTCTCAAGATCCAGCTCTACTTCAGGCCATTTGATGTCCTTTGGTAATGTATGATCAGCAGTTTCTCAATCTCCCTATCTAGTGTTTGCCAGAAGAGATTGGACGCACCCCTCGTATGCACGACCTGATTGGTTCTCTGGCAGCAGAAGGCCAACAGGTATCAGTGACGTAACTCTGCATAAACCAGCATTAAACAAGACATAAACCAAACCTAAACATGACGAGTAAATATCCATAAACAGATCATAAGTCATGCTAATCATCGTGTCTAAATCTGACATGAGGAAACCCTCACTCTCTGTGTTCAGACAGTAGCCAGTCTGTGCCCAACACAGGCTATAAGTGGAGCCGGACGAGCAGCGGTGACCCCGCAGGTGAGGATCACACACAAATCTGCTTCACATGTGCATTTCATGTGCAGGTCTGTTCTTGATGATGGAACAGCAGCATATTAATGTACACTGCAGAACATATCCAGCAGTTTCTGTATTTTGTGATTTATATTTGACTTTTCGCCTTTAGTTTATGCTGTGAGTTGCATTGTAGGATCCTTAATCTTTCTTCCTCCAACTTTTAACCTTGAAAAGTGACTTTGATGATCATTTTTAATAGTTTAAAGTGGTATGTTGTCTAAATTGTTATATGTTTTCTACTTATTTCTCTAGATATTATATTTCTTACACAATATATTATTTTAATCCACTAAAATGTCAGTAAAAGTCACTTTGTTAAACTGTAGAGTTGAGTTTTCATCATTAAATGTGGACAGAGCAGAAATCAACATCCCATAATGCAATTCACCACCGCAAATAAACAGAAAACACACAAAGTACAGGAACTGATGAAGAAGAGATATTTAACAGTGTGCGCATGTTCCTGCTGCTCATTTCTGCTCTGCATTCACTTCCTCCATGCGGTTTAAACAGCACAGGCTCATTGGGAATATGTGCTCAGGGCTACATTTCTGAGAACCCAGAAATATGTAACTTGGGTAATTATGGTTGCTTTTGTGTGCAAAACAAATATAATGGACCGGTACCGCTCACTGATTAGCCCAGTACGGACGGCTTTTCTGGTGTTTATTCTCAAGCTCATAAGCCATTGGATTGTAAGGGGAATAGTGACCACTGCTTTTGAAACTTTTAAGTTGGACCGGACAACAGTTGATCAAACTGGTCTGGGCTCAGTCTGAAGCACCGCTGACAGCCTCCATCATCCAGGTACAGTTTCTGGAGTTGATGAGCTCACTGAGCTGCTGCACCTCTAAAAGGATCTAGTGGACTCAGACACAGCTCCAAATGAAGCGATGCTGTTTTTCAGCCTTCCTAAAGCACATAAACACAGCTACTCTCTCTTAAAAAAAAACATGTTAGCCATTTAGCAATGAAGCCACCGGGCGCACAGATTGGTGTAAAATTCAGTGTTTCTCCACTGGGGGGCGATCTGTGTAATGCCATGAAATCCAGATGAAGCAAACAGGTTCACTCAGATCGACCCGTATTGGAGAAGCACTGATTTCACAAGGTTTATCATTTTTACCTGATCTCCAGTCAGTTTGAATGTGTTTTAATGAGACATTTGTAAAATGAAAATTAATAATAGCCCACCATGCCACAAACAAAATATAAAACAACTTAGAAAACCTATTGTCTTGTTGCAGACTATGCATGCACTTAATGTGTTATGACAGTAGATGATAAAATAAGATTTATAGATTATACTTTCAATTTATAGTTTGCACTATTTTTGAAAAAGTCAATTTAGTTTTTATTGCATTTACATGTTTTGACCAGCAGATGTCACTAGTGTTTGCTTCGGATCTGAATCATTTTGAGAAGTAATTGGCTTAGTGGTTTCAAATCTTCAAAAAGCTGTGTTTCTCCCATCACTAAAGCAACGTGTGCCGGAGTCTGGCAAAGATTCCAGAAACCAGATAAAACAAAACAAAAAGCCATGGTAAAAACACTCCACTTCAATGAAACATCCCAAGTCTCCTGGAAGTTCAGAGAGTATCCCGCCAATGCATAGAGACTCCAGGATGAACAACTGACAATCTGGACATCGTGCGTCTCCCTCAAATACGTCGTCACATTTTTCTCAGTTCTCAAATGTACAGCCCTGGGCACATACCTCCACTGAGCCTGGGTTGGGTTTAAATAAGCCTGTGCTGCTAGCTTTGTCATGCTGCTTATATAAATGCATTCCAATGTGCATCCCATATGAAACACACACACACACACACACACACACACATACATGTCCTGCTGGAGCGATTCCACTTTGCTTTATTATCCATGTCAGAGAGCAGGTGGTAAGCTGCAGGTTTTTCTCTTGCTAACACGTTCACATGTGCATTATGGGTATGATGATCTCCATAATGTCTTATATCCAGCTAACCGCTCTGCTACCGCTGCCTCTCTCCTGCAGTGTTTGACCCAGTGCCTGATAGAACAGAGTATGAGCACTGGCCGCATAACAATCAGCAGTTCTGTAAGTATTCTTCCACATTATTGACTTACGTGTAGACATGATTAATGTGTTATAATAGCCTGGCTCTCTGTAATGGCCTCCAGCATGGTACACTGTATCTACACTGGTTTGCTGGTTTTAGGTTGGTCTCCAAACCTGGATCAGGTGATCTTGAGCTCTTTCAACACTCTTACAATCTATGCTTCTTTATTTAAAGCTGCTTTGAGCAAATGATGACGAGCAATCCTAAAGTTTAAAATCAGCAAACACAAACACGCCCATAACCCAACAGGACCCGCCCATTTTAATTACTAGACACACCCCTTCCTGCTGATTGGCTGATTGACACTGCAGTCAAAAGTGTTTTCAGATATTGCCCAGTGAATCATTCATGGAAACTTTTCAGTTCACAAAAGATGAAGGTTTATCAGATCATAAGAAATCTTCACAATAAGGATCGCATTCTTATATTAAATATTTTAGGTTAAAGCTGAAAGATTCTTTGTGGAAATAAAATGGTTCTTTCTGGTACATTACTGCTAAATATTTTTCAGTGTAAAGCATATATATATACAGGAGTTTTCAGTTAAATAAACTGATTATTGTAGATTAATCAAGTCTATTTTTTTAATTACAAATACAGATTTTAACTGAGTTTGAAGTAAGTTTAATTAATGTGAGCTGAAATTAATTGTAAACCTTGTAAAAATGTAAGGGTGAAACAATTTTTTCACTTTGTGAAGTACAGTCGGTCTTCCAGCACATCTTTTATTAATATTTTCACTGGAATTAGGTGGAATAAGATGGAATTAGGAACAATATGAAAATAAGTTTTCTTCATACTTTATTTATTAATTTTTTGCATAAAAATGCTTCTTGTTTGTCCGAGTGGAACAACATCATGCAGTAGTCAACCTCAACATTGCTGAAATTGCCCATAATACAGCAAAATAACCTCTCTCCCACCACACCACAACCTCAAAACATTGTGCATTTCTGAGTGTGCCTCACACAGGTGAGTGGGCTTGACAAACCACCTGCAGAAAACACTCTCTTTCATCTCTCTGACACTTTAACCCACATCTGCACCAGACACTTTCCTACAATCCCTTCATATCTCTAAGATAAAAATGAAACATACGTCGTGCATTTCTGAAGTGTGCCTCACACAGGTGAGTGGGCCTGATAAACCATCTGTAGAAACTCTTCTCTCTCTAAACAATTACTCTGGTACTTATTCTCTGAGCACAAACAGATGCTTTGTATAACTGGCTTATCTTGTGTGTGTTGCCTCATCTTGTTGAACTGTTGAATGCCTCCTCAATTGTAAGTCTCTTTGGACAGAAGCATCTGCTGAATGACTGAATGTAAACAGTAAGAACAGGAGGGGATGCATTATGGAGAGAAGTGAGTGTGTGATGGAGAAGGCTGAACTACACACTTCTGTCCTCGAGTCTGCAGTCAATAGAGGCTTTGTTTCAGTCGCCCACTGCTCCTACAGCTGCTCGATGTTGGGTTTGGACAAACAGAGTCAGAAATTCAGGGACAATTTTACAGTTTCACTGAGAGGAAGCTGTATCCCCAACCATTCAGAACAAACAGTGCAAGTTAAAGGGTCAGTTCACCCAGAAACGTAAACTCTGACAATTATTCCTCTCTCTCATGTGGTTTCAATCCTCTGAGCCATCCGTTCATCTTCAGGAAACAAATGCAGATGTTTTAGATGAAACCCTGGAGCTCTCTCATCCTCCATAGACAGCACGGGTCCCGAGACCCGCAAAAACCGAAAGCATTGAGCATCATTCAGTGTCTTCAGTGTTCAACACTTTTGTGTGAGAAAAGCATGACCAGTGCTGTTATATAAATAGCAATAGTTCTGAAAGTAAACAGTACACTGGTATACTAATACAATATTAAAGCAGTATAAGACAAACAGTGGCTGTGTTTTAGAGCAGTGTCCATGGAGGATCCAGTGAGTATCAGTGTGTTTCTGACTGCCGCGGTGTCTTCATGAACCCGAAGGTCTGATTCTCATGCCCATTATTTCTGTTTTCAGCTCCTGAGTCTGAAGAAAACAAGCCTGTGCCTGAGACGAGCCACACACGAGGTCAGTCACAAACACAGATCACAAAAACACCACAGCAGATGATGATGATGATGATGATGATGATGATGAATGAGTGTGTGATGAGTAATAATCAGAGATTCCTGAATTACAGAGACGCCTGCAGAGTCAAACCCATTCGAGTCAGGTGAGGACAATAATTAATATAATGAACCAGTGAATGAATGACCGAATGAAGGAGTGAATGTATGAAGGAATGAATGTAAAAATGAATGAATGAACAAACAAGGGAATGTATGAATGAATGAACAAATGGGTTAATGAATGAATGAATGAATGAATGAATGAATGTATCAATGAATCAATGAACAAGTAAATGAATGAATGAATGAATGAATGAATGAATGAATAAACAAACAAGTGAATGAATAAAAGAACGAATGAACAAACAAGTGAATGAATGAATTAATGTATGAATGCATGCATGCATAAATGAATGAATGAATGAATGAACAAGTGAATTAATGAACAAACATGAACGAATGAACAAGTGAATGAGTGAATGAATTAATTAATTAATTGATTAATTAATTAATTAAAGAATGAATGAACGAACAAGTGAATGAATGAACAAATGAGTGAATGAATGAACAAACAAGTGAATGAATGAATCAATCAATGAATGAAAGAATGAATGAACGAACTAACGAACAAGTGAATGAATGAAGAAACAAGTGAATGAATGAAGGAATAAATGAATGAATGAATGAATGAATGAATGAATGAACGAACGAACTAACGAACAAGTGAATGAATGAAGAAACAAGTGAATGAATGAATGAATGAATGAATGAATGAATGAATGAATGAACGAGCTAACGAACAAGTGAATGAATGAAGAAACAAGTGAATGAATGAATGAATGACTATAAATGAATGAACAAGTAAATGAATGAATGAACCAGTAAATGAATGGATTATTGAATGAATGAATGAATGTACCAACAAGGTAACTTTCATAATTTAATGAAAGAATGAATGAATGAACAAACAAGTGTGTGAATGAATGAACAAAGAAGCGAATAAATGAAGGAACGAGTATAGATAGAAAATAATATAGAAATAATGAATGAGCAAGCCACAGAACAGGTGAATGAATGAATGAATGAATGAATGAATGAATGAATGAGAAATGCATACTGATATTGTAAGTGAGTGTGTTTGTGTGGATCTGCTGATTTTCTTTCTCCTCTCTCAGGCTTCACTTCTCGAGTCATGGACACCACAGCCAGAGCTCCTGAAGTCCCGTCTCAAGGAGATCCAAGTACTCTCAAACACACATCTATATTGTTTTATTATTTGTCAAATGTTTGCCAAGTGCTGTTTAACAGAGCAAGGACATTTTTCACAGTATTTCCCATTACATTTTCTCCTGGTGAAAGTCAGATTTCTTTTAGATCGGAATAAAAACATTTATATATTTGAAATGTAAAAACTGCTGTGGTCAATATTATTAGCCCCCTTAAGAAATTACTTTTTTTTAAATTGACCTTTAATTTGATTCAGCTAACTTTTTAGTCTTTAAATTGCTCTTTAAAGTGCACTTAATATGCAGAAATCACTTTAATAAGAGTTTAACCCTAGTTGTGTGTCAGCAGTGTGTGGAAATCTCCAGCCTCTAATAGTAAAGATGAATGAACTGTGTTTGCTCTGGTCAGACTTGATGCAGAAACTCTTTGATTGACATTCTCCCTTTGTCATCAGAGGGGGAAAGCCCCGCCCACTAGTGCTCATCTCTCCATCTCATTAGCATAAACAGCAGCCCTGAGTGAGCAGCAGCCGTTCCCTTTAACCTCAGTGTTTATAGCAGACAGACATTGACATCTGGCCTGGTCTCATTCTCTCTGCAGACTGTAAAGTGGACATGGCGTTCCTCATGGACGGCAGCTGGAGCATCGGGAAACGCCGCTTCAAGATCCAGAAGGATTTCCTAGTGGAGGTTTCTCAGGCGCTCAATGTGGGCGTGGCCGGAGCCATGATGGGCATCATTCAGTACGGGTGAGAGGATGAAAACTGAGCAGAGACTGAGGAGACCAGAGCGAGGATGGATAGCAGATTAATATATATATACTGTGTGTGTGTGTGTGTGTGTGTGTGTGTGTGCGTGTGTGTGTGTGTGTGTGTGTGTGTGTGTGTGTGTGTGTGTGTGTGATATAGGGATGATCCAGTGACAGAGTTCAGTCTGAAGCAGTTCTCCAACTCTAAGGACCTGAAGCCGGCCATCAGTAAGATCGTGCAGAAGGGCGGCCCGTCACATGTGGGTGAGTTTCACCTGAAGCACAGAATCAGATTCAAACCTCACACCAAGATCATTGATGTGTCAAACTTTTAAAGACGTTTGTGGATGAGTGATGCTCAGTTGCGTCTCAGACTGTTATTCTGAGGACGTTTCCATACCTATAAACACGACACTGCACAAAAAGAAACGTGATTGGTTGGTTAACCTGTCAATCATACTACATAGTAGGCTGGTCTTGACCATTCAAAGCGGCCTGAGCTCTGGATACAGGCAACATAGCTCAACCCACATTCGTGAGCCTGAAAACTCAAAATAAAGCTGAACTTACCTGAGTAAACCCACACCATCTTCATCCAGCTGGCCTGAGGAGCAGAAGTTATCTCAGGATCCACTGAACTCCAGCCACAGAAGATCTAAATCTGCGCTGGAAACTGTGGCTAAATTACAGGCTGTGAGCTGACCAGATGCCTGAGGTTTATCCAAGCTAGAGATTAGCTTTTCTCATGGCCGCATGGTTTGTGTTATAGATAGCGTCTCTTTAATATAACAGAGGGATCCAGTAAAACAGCAGCTGCCCTATATAAAGACAAAGATAGCCCGGGGCCTCGCTCTATCTGCTTTTCACAGGGAGATCTTCATCTTCTGTGGGTCTTCAGGCCTGCAGTGACCCTGCAGAGTATTCCCACATCATGCTGCTGAGAGAGATGGAGATGCAGACGCTTTGTGTTCATCTGTGGTTAAAACAAAGCAATTCCTAGGATGATTTAAATAACTCTAAATGATGTGAAAGATCCCTGAGCTGAAAATAAAGTTTTAGATCAGCGGTCCTCAACCTTTCCCAGAGATGGGTTGCGGCTGGAAAGGGCATATGCTGAGGAAAAACGTGGATGAGTTGGCGGTTCAGTCCTCTGTGGCGACCCCGGATTAATAAAGTGACTAAGCCGTGCTGTGAGGCAACAGTACTAACCACTGGGCCACCGTACCGCCCTATCAGAGAAGGCGAGGTGTAGGGATTCTTCAAGACGAAGATAATGGGAGTGGTTATTTGTAGAGTGTCAGTATCCATCTGATTGGTGTAAAATATGAAGCTGAAGCGGTGTCAGACGTGTTCAATCATAAGCTTGTGATTCTCTCAAAATTACTAATCAAATGCTCTCTAGTTTCTGACATGCCCTGCCCCCTTTTTCTCATTGGTTGTTTATTTGATGTGCTTGAGCTCAACCACTCTCACCGGCAGAGCAGTAATAAAAACAACACTCTATTGGCTGATTCTTTTAAAGGGGTGGAGCTAATATATGCCCCACCCTCTTCATGTTTCAGATGAGATTATGTCAAACCTCCAATAAAAACTGCACATTTTAAAGCTCTTCAGAAGAGCTCTAACAGTGCCGCATGTAGGATTGGCTACATCCTAGTGGTGGATCTGGGTATTACAGTCCAAAGTCTCAATATCAGAGTGGGCTCGACTCGACACAAATTTCAACACACCAAAACAAATAGCTTTTACAATGTAAAAAATGTTTAGTTTCATAGATTTAGTTCTAATTTTAGCTTAAGATTGAGGGTTCTCACAGGTCATGTATTTTCTGGAATATCATGGAATTTCCAAAGGTCATTTAAAGTCAGAGTTTTCTATTTTATGTTATGGAATATCAGGGATTTCCTGAAATATTTATGATTATTGCAGCCTAAAATGACTCATTTGCTAGCGAATTTACTCAAAATGTGATGTAAATTTTGGGGCATTTCTTGTATTGTTTTGCTGTTTTGAGATCACGTTTAAGATGTTAATTAAATATCAAACACAAATGGTGCTGAAGGAACTGGAACTGTGTCCTGACTGACTCAATTAAAAAAGAAAGCACCAATTTGCCTCATTTTGCATTAAATTTAGCAAATATTAGAGAATCTTTAAATCATGGAGAGAAACAACAGCTGTGTGTGTGTGTGTGTGTGTGTGTGTGTGTGCGCGCGCATGCGTGTTCCCTTCTGTCTCAGTGCTCTGAGTGTGTCTGTTTGTGTGTGTCTCGCTCTCTTTGTTTGTGTGTGTGTGTGTTGTTTCTATCCCCATGCCTGCAGTGTGTGTGTGTCTGCAGCAGGAGGTGTGTGTTTCCAGCTCTCCTCACTGACGCATTGATCGTTTGTGCAGCTCTGGAAGTGTGTAAGCAGCGACTGAAACAGTACAGTGATTGAGGCTGAACTGAGGCTGTTCTGTGTGTGTGTGTGTGTGTGCGCGTGTGTGTGCGTGTGTGTGTGTCTGTTCTGTGTGTGTGTGTGTGTGTGTGCGCGTGTGTGTGTGTGTGTGTGTGTGCGTGTGCGTGTGCGTGTGTGTGTGTGTGTGTGTGTTTCTGGCTCTGCTCTCTCAGGGAAGGCTCTGTCCTACATCAACAAGCAGTTCTTCAGTGATGCCAATGGGAACCGCGGTGGGGCGCCCAATGTGGCCGTGGTGCTTGTGGACGGCTGGCCTACGGACCGGGTGGAGGAAGCCTCGCGCCTTGCCAGAGAGTCCGGCATCAACATCTTCTTCGTCACTATTGAGGGCCCAGACGACAACGAGAAGCAGAACGTGGTGGAGAGCAACTTTGTTGACAAGGTATTGACATGTACGACTGATCCAGCTAGATTACACGAGCTGGATTCACTGGTCAGATACGCTACAAACACTGAGGACACCTGCTGGTTACAAGATGGAAATGCAGACGGAAATGCACAAACTAACAGTAAATAGTATGTTACTATATATATTTACAGTGATAGTTATTGTCGTTGGCATGAACGTCTCTTTAGCTTTCTCAAATAAACAAAAAAATGCCACAAAATTAATTAGGTGAAGAATAGTCAAAATTTAACACGCAAAATGCAGTGGAGTGAAAAAAGTGTTTATTGATGAGTCAAAGAGGTCTTAATCTATATTCATGTTAAATGATGAGTTGTTGTTGTTGTAATATGGTAGTCTGTATGTTTAAGTGTAGAGTTAAAGTGCAATATTATTTAATAATAGTTTTATTAATGAGGAAATTAATGATTGTGAGGAGGAATCTTGATTTGTTGTTTGTGCCCTAGGCGGTGTGCAGGACCAACGGCTTCTTCTCGCTCCCCATAGCGAGCTGGTTTGCTCTGCGTAAGGCCGTGCAGCCGCTGGTGAAGCGTGTGTGTGATACCGACCGGCTGGTGTGCAGTAAAACCTGCCTGAACGCCAACGACATCGCCTTCGTCATCGACGGCTCCAGCAGCGTCGGCACCGGAAACTTCCGCACCGTGCTGCAGTTCGTGGCTAACGTGACGCGGGAGTTCGAGATCTCAGACACGGACACCCGAGTGGGCATCGTGCAGTACACGTACGAGCAGCGGCTGGAGTTCGCTTTCGGACAGCACAACAACAAAGCCGACCTGCTGAACGCCATCAAGCGCATAAACTACTGGAGCGGAGGAACCAGCACCGGAGCCGCCATCACCTACGCCGCAGACCAGCTCTTCAGCAAGTCCAAACCCAACAAACGCAAGATCATGATCGTCATCACGGACGGACGCTCCTATGATGATGTGCGGGCCCCGGCGCTGGCCGTGCACCGTACAGGTTAGATTTACTGTCCTGGCCTCATACACACTGCATTACACACACCTCACACAACACTACAATAACACATCCTAGATCTGAATGGATGAAATATTCTTATAAGCTCTTTGTTTTCTGAATAGTTGAACGTGCTGACAACACAACCACACAAAACTCATCAATGGAAATCTAATGTATTAACCCATGGAGGTCTGAATTTGGAGTCACACTCAAAATCCACACTTTAGGCTGATATTGCTGTAACGTAATGTCCTGAAAACAAGTCAAAATGAGGCTCAGCCGTGTGCTTTTGCCTGTATGACCTCCACACAATGCCTGGCCATGCTCTCGAGGTGGTGGAGGGTCTCGGGAGGGATCATCTGTCAGAACCTGGACTGAAGTATCCATCAACTCTTGGACAGGCTGTGGCATTCATTAATGGAGCAAGATATGAAATCCCAGATGTGCTCACAAGAGGTCTGAGGATCTTATCTCGGTACCTGATGGCAGTCAGGCTACTTCTGGCGAGAACATGGAGGGCTGTGCGGCCTTTCAAAGAAATGCCACCCCAGACCATTACTGGCCCACTGCCAATCCGGTCATGCTGGAGAATGTTGCAGGTAGCAGAACACTCTCCAGGGCGTCTCCAGACTCTGTCACATGGACTCATTGTGAACCTGCTTTCATCTGTGAAGAGCACCGGGCGCCAGTGGCCAATTTGCCAAGCTTGGTGTTCTCTGTCAAATGCCAAACGTCCTGCACGGTGTTGGGCTGTAAGCACAACCCACACCTGTGGACACCAGGCCCTCAGACCACCCTTATAGAGTCTGTTTGAGCAGACACATGCACATGTGTGGCCTGCTGGAGGTCATTTTGCAGGGCTCTGGCACTGCTCCTCCTGTTCCTCCTTGCAGAACCACCTGCAGAAGCACTCCTTTAGTGGGGATGTCTTGCCAATTACCCATCAGTTCCACCAGTTGTCTGTTCCGTCTGCGCAGCAGCATGTGAGATGGGTTGTCAGTCAGTGTTGCTTCCTAAGTGTCAGTTTGATTTCTCAGAGGTGTGATTGATCTGGAGTTACATTGTGTTGTTGAAGTGTTCCCTTTATTTTTTAGCAGTGTATAAATGTACATACATTCTTAAAATGTAAATATTTAAAGGTTTCCAGCATTTAAGATTATGATGACTGTTAAATGTGTCATAAGAGCCTTGTGAAAAGGGTCCATTGCATCGGGTCCATTTACAGTTTCGATGTATTGAAAACAGCACATGCTGACGACACCTGCTGGTCAAAACAATGTCAATGCAACAAAAACTCAAGCAAAACATGGATGAACTGGCCAACAAGACACTATAAACTGATATTATATATATATATTTTACAAGAGCCTGATTAAAATGACCAGAAACTGACTCATCAAACCTGTCCGGTTATTCATCACGAGGGGCAATCTAAGTGATCCCGCATGATTCGTGTGGATTTTCTGTTATTACACACCAGTGGACAAACATTGAATTTACAACTTAAACAAGGTTAAACTGTAGACGTCTCAGAGATGTGAGCGCGGTCAGTGTGGGATTCTGGGTAAAAGCTTGAGCAGTGGCTGCTTTATGGGAATGTTTTTCCAGAACCAGCGAGGATGTTGATTCAGAAACACATCCAGGGTAAATCTCATTAAACACTGACGTTCACTGAGCCACACATTCTGCACTCTGATTAAACGGTGCTGAACGATGAAAGTCCTTTACCTGTTTCAGAGAACGCTTTAACAGAGGACGTTCAGAAAAATACCATACATCAGGGTACTAATGAAACAGAAATGCAGAGAGTCGCTCCAGCTGCTGTCTCACTTTTCCCAAAACTTACACCGCCTCCACTGCACTCCTGAGTGTTTCCTGGAATCAACACAACATCTGCACTGTCAACTTGTGTTTTTGTGTGTTTATGACTCAACCGTGTGTGTATTTGAACTTACACATGCAACACTGTCAGACAGTGAACATTCTGCATCTGACAGACAGAAAACATGCATTGAGAGTTCACACTGACACGGCTTTATGAAGGAGACGGAGGTTTCATTTGACTCTGGAGTATCTGAGCAATGGCTCCTCTTCTGGAAAGGGGGCAGAGACTTTAGATCATTCTTATTAAGTTAAACAGTTTTTCTGACTGGAAATGCCCCAAACTGCTCCCAAGACAAGAGTCGTCATTGTCGGAAATATATATATATATATATGCATATACACACAGTGCAGAAAATGCTTTTTTGCTTAAATGTTTTTTGTTTGTAGTTGAAATATCTAAAGGTCTCTGGTTCGAGCCTCAGCTGGGTCAGTTGGTGTTTCTGTGTGGAGTTTGCATGTTCCCCTTGTGTTGGCGTGGGTTTCCTCCGGGTGCTCCGGTTTCCCCCATAGTCTAAACACATGAGTGTGTATGGGCGTTTCCCAGTGATGGGTTGCAGCTGGAAGGGCATTCGCTGTGTAAAACATATGCTGGATAAGTTGGCGGTTCATTATTACAGGAATTCCCTGATTAATATAGGGACTAAGCTGAAAAGAAAATGAATGAATGAGGGATTTTCTTATAGACAAGCTAAATAATCTGGCAGTGAGGCAGGTAAAATAATAGTACATGTGTTTTTGTGTTCTAATATGATTATTCTGCTCCCCCACTGATGCACCATTTAGCTGGTTTTAAGGGAAACTCACTATTTTTTAACAGATTAGTATTTTCCCCAATATCAGCATTATAGCACTAGTTGTGTGTGTAGGAGCAGCTGTGTGTGTGTGTGTTTGGGTCAGCTCTGCTCATGTGTGTGCTGTGTGTTTCTCTGCTGTGTCTCCGCTTCTCCAGGTGTGATTGCGTACTCTATCGGTATCGCCTGGGCTGCGCAGGACGAGCTGGAGTACATCGCCACTGACCCCGACAGGGAGCACTCCTTCTTCGTGGACGAGTTTGACAACCTCTACAAGTACGTTTCTAAAATCATCCACAACATCTGCAATGAGTTCAACTCACAGCCCCGAAACTGAGGCAGCAGACCCCCGTCAGCACACAGACAGAGGCAGAGACCCCCATGAAGACCTCGGAAGAGGAAGAACTTTCCACAGAGGTTATTTTACAACTTAAAGAAGACCCACACGAACAAATACATCAGTGTCTTATAGTAAATACTGTCTTTAAACCATACCTTATCGAAGAACTCAATTACTGTAGCTGTTGTGTTACCATGACAATTATAGTCATTTATGTATTGTGGTGATTCTACAGTTGCTATGGTAACACAACAACTACAGTAATTGATCTGTTGTGGTAATTCTACAGTTGCTATGGTAACACAACTACTATAGTAATTGATGTGTTGTGTTGATTCTATAGTTGCCATGGTAATGCAACAACTAAAGTAGTTGATGTGTTGTGGTGATTCTGTAGTTGCTATGGTAACACAACAGCTATATTAATGGATGCGTTGTGGTGATTCTACAGTTGCTATGGTAACACAACAAATATATTATTATAAACAAATAACCCAACACTGTAGTTTTCTACAAGTATATAGGGCATACTATACTACAATACACCACAGTTTACGGAAGTGAAGTATACTACAGTGTTTATTAGAGTTGATCAGTTCACTATAGTTAATACGACAGTATGCTGGAGCACTCATTCAGTTACTGAATATACTATAATATATACAGTATAGTGCACTTCACTATAGTATGGTTCAAAAACACTGCAGTATTTACTGTAAATGACTATAATGTGGGAGTGCAGTGGAAATGTTGATGATGGCAGCAAGTGTGTGTTCAGTGATGTTATGTTAGCATGATGGACTTTACGGTTTCTGTCAGTAAGAGAAAACACACGCTTACAGCTTTTGCATACTATTTATATTTTACATGCTGAACACGACCAAGCTACATAATGAAAATTAATTGAGTCAATGTTCATATTGAAAACCTATAGCTCATTTCCATGCATACGTATAAAATCCCAACCAAAGTGTGTCTGTTATTAGTGAATGAAACATATTAAATGTTGACTGAATGTTCAGGAGCTAATGTGGAGCGTTAAAGCATGCTGGAACTGACGGATTTACAAGACACTTTTCAGTGCACAAAGCTGAATATTATTGCAGATACGTTCATAAAAAGCAGATTTACAGAAGAGTTCATCTGCAGGAGAATCTCAGACGCTCCTGTTCTGTGCTTTTACAATGATGATTGACTGTTCTGACTGATCCTGAATACACATCTACAAAGTATTGTTCCCTCTTGTCAGCTTAAAATTCATTTATTATTTCCTTTTTTTGTATTTGTATATAGAAAATTGCTTGTATTTGTAAGACAGACATAACTGATGACATATTTTTAATAAAACGATTACTGAAAACCAGCACATTGATGGGTTTGAATTGAAATATATTGCTTAACAAGGGTATGTGTGTAATTTATTATGCTATTCAGAATAAAGTAGAACACAATGGAATGGATTAGACTGTAGTAGAGTATACGGGTATAGAATAATATAGCACTGAATACAAAATGAATAGAATATAGTAAATAAAGGAATGGAAAGGAATAGAATGAAGGTGGCACAGTGGGTAGCACTCAAGAAGGTCTCTGGTTTGAGTCTCGGCTGGGTCAGTGTGTGTTTCTGTGTGGAGTTTGCATGTTCTCCCCGTGTTGGCGTGGGTTTCCTCCGGGTCCTCCAGTTTCCCCCACAGTCCAAACACATGCGCTATAGGGGAACTGATGAACAGCTGTAAGGGATGATCACATTAATATGGCATATTTTTTGTGAAGTAGAAGGTAGAACAACAACAGGCCTAATTTTTAACATTACTGTGAGGGTAAATATTAATAATACTCTGTATAATTACTGTTTCAACATTCATTCATTCATTTTTTTTCGGCTTAGTCACTTTATTTATCAAGAGTCGCCACAGCGGAATGAACCACCTACTATTCCAGCATGTTTTACACAGTGGATGTAGCTGCAAACCATCACTGGGAAATAATAAAATTCAATGAATGGGTAATATAATAAATGATATAATTAATTCTCGTTAATTCTCTCTGAGGGATGTAAACAAAAATAGTGGTCCTATCATATCTCCTGTTTTACTTTTTTATTACTGTAGCTTCAGATAATCCAAAAAGAGCCACATATTGATAAATAATGTTATGAGAGCTGTTTTAACATTACCTTATGGTTGAATTGTCTCTCGTTACGGTTATGAAATAGTTTGCGGGTCAATAACATCACCACATTAAAATGGGCTCAGATGTTCAGTATTGGTAAAGACTGTCCTCTGCTGGCTGAAAGATGAACCACACACACACACTCACTCGGGTACACATGCCTGAGAAAGTGTTAAGCTATTTTAATTCTTCGTGTTTTGTTTTGGTGTCTTCTACTGTAGGTTTACACACATCCAAGATTAAAAAAAATAAAAATAAATAAAACACTTTTATTTTGTAATAATATACAATCAAATCACCTCATGTTTCTACTGGTAGCCTACTGGTATTTTCCTCCCCCATTGTCAGATTATTTTGCTTGTTTTGATGAAAAACTCATTTAATTTTGCTTCAGTATTTCTGTAAACAACACTATATTTTTTACTTGTCTAGAAAATGCTTCTTAATTTAAGAATGTTCAGATGTTTGGACTAGAAACAAGAAGCAGATTGTTTAGCCGTGTTAAGGACACATCTGCATTAGAGTTTCCTCACATCTGCAGATGAGCTGTGAGAAGGAGATATTTATGATTACATGAAGCTTTCTCTGTCAGCTAATGCTTATTCTCTGATGTAATGCAGATCAATCATTCAGCTACATGAAGAGCAGGAATATATATGAAGAAATAAAACACACACACACACACACACACACACACACACACACACACACACACACACACACACACACACACACACACACACACACTGAAGTGTTCTTACTCACAGTTTCTGTCTTCTTTCTAGTCCAAATATTTAAAAACTCTTAAATCAGTCAGCATTTTCTATAGACAAGCACAATATATAGTGTTGTTTACAGAAATAATGAGTCAAAATGAGTCTGTTTTTTTCCTTAAAACAAGCAGAATAATGTTTTGCCAAAGGAAAAACCTGATTATTTGGCTTGTTTTAGGAAATAAATCATTACATTTTGACTCATTCTTTCTGAAAACAACACGTTTTTTTCTGCATGTCTATATGCTTCTTGATTGAAGAGTTTTTAAAGGTATGTGGACTAGAAACAAGACACAAACTAAGTAAGAAAAGCATGTTTTCTAGTGCACTCACTAGTGAACAAGGGAGCTGATTGAGATGCAGCCAGTGTTCTCTCCGGCTCTGGATGCAGTTATTGAGAGCAGCTGTTTTCTTTGCTTTTTTCTTCTTTCTCTCTCTCTCTCTCTCTCAGTTTCTGTCTCTCTGGCACAATCTGTTTTCTCTACAACACACACACACACACACACACACACACACTATTGGATGTTGTCTTGATGCTGAAGTGTGTTTCTCTTGCTGAAGTTGAGTCTGTTTTCTGACCTTTTGTGCCCTCCAACATCCTGTAGTGAAGCCCATCCCTCTCTCCCTCCCTCTGTTCTTCTCCTGTTTCTCTTTCCGTCCTCTGCTCAGACTCTGTTGTTTTCCTCTCGCTGACACAGAAACAGACACACACAGGTATTTCACAAATGTTGACCTTTCAGTGCTGTGCGATTAGCTGTGCTCAGGGCACATGAGATGTTTTAGTTTGATCTGATCAGTTTGTAGGCGTTGAGCGGGTCTGTTAGTGTGTTCAGGGCTGCTGTTGAAGCATTGATGAGCTGTGTACTGTGGTATTTTAGGTGCTTTATATGCATACACCACACAAAATGCTTTTCTTGCTTAATTTTTGTCTTGTTTCAAGTCCAAATATTGAGAAATTCCTAAATCAAAAAGCATTTTTAAAAGAAAAGTAGAAACTTTTGTTTTGTTTAAAGGAATGAGTCAAAATGAAGTGAGTTTGTCCTTAAACAAGCAAAATAATCTTGTTTTCTGTTATGAAATGAGATGAATTTAGCTTGTTATATGAAAAGAAACTCACTTCATTTTGTCTCTTTATTTCTGAAGAAAACAACACTTACACAGCTTCTTAATTTATATTTTAGACAATTTTGGACTAGAAACAAGACTCAAACTCTAATAAAGAAAAGCATTTTTATGCAATGTACAGCACTGAAGACATAAAGGGCATTTAGTTTTATTAAAACAGCCGATTAATTTCATGATGTGAGTCCAAAAATAATTGGACAATTTTAAAAGAAATATTTGTACATATCCAAATACAATATTTAGACATAATTGTGTGCATACATTGCAAAAATGTTTCATTTTTATTGCATGTTACAGGCTAATGTAACGTTATATTGATGCCAGTATTATTGAGCATGTGTGATTTGTTCGCGTTCTGGTCATGTGTTGTTTCCTCCAGTAATCTGCTGAATAAAGGCTGCAGTTGTGTGTGTTGTGCAGTGATGGGTGAGGACGGAGCATCAGCGAGCGCATCAGAGCCCATCAGCACTGTGACAGGAGGAAATAAACCTGTACACCGCTTCCTCAGAGGACAACCCAGGAGTATCGGAGTGAGAATCCTTCACACACACACAACACTGGCGACAAAGAAAATTCAGGATTTGTAGAGCATAACCATTCATTTCTGCATAGGGAAATTACATTTTACAACCCAAGCTCACTGGAATCATGTGCCCAGGGATACAGTTTAGAGAAGTGAGAAATAAGGATGTTTTCTAGTAGTTTTTATTTTCACAAATCCACTAGAGGCCACTGTGTACATTTTGACAAGCTCAAAAATGTTACTGGTGAATGTTTTCTGCTGCTAGGCATTTCTATATATGTCCATGATTCCACTGGCAGGGATGGATGAGGCTGTGTGTTTCGGGTTAAGGAAGAAACTTACATAGTGCTGCATTCAAACTATTTGTTTGCATACTATCTGCTTATTGTTTCACTCGTTTTATGGGTTGTGCTAAATTTTGCATAACCATCAGCACACTGAGAAGGACATCACCAGGCCACTCTAAAGTCTCCAGTTTACAAAACCCATCCACCATAGCCTCAGATTCCACCATGGTCAATTGTCATCAATGGTCAGTTCCACCAGCCTCCCTCAATCCCAAAAATCCACCTTGAACCTCAGATTCCATAGTGAGCAATCATCATCCTGCCCACTCCACTGGGCTCCCTAAAACTTAGACTACACCTCAAACCTCAAAATAAACCACAAACCTCAGACTTCACCTCGTACCTCAGATTCCAGTAGAAACATCCGATTCCACCATGAACCTCAGACTTCACCTCATACCTCAGATTCCACCTTGGTCCATCATCATCCTGCCCACTCCACCAGGCTTTCTTGAACCCCAGCTTCCTCCACAATTCTCAGATTCCACCTTTACCTGATTTCACCTAAAACCTTTTTGTCTGGTGAGAGGTGTTTCATATATGCTTATTGTGTGTAAGGTTTCGCTGGTGATGATGGGTGTGTGTCTGTTTATGTTTGGATTCCCCATGGTTGCTGTGGAAGAATACATAATCAGCCCCATGTGGCTCGGGATGTCGGTATGTTGATTTGTGTCTCTCTTTTATTAGATTTGCCTAGAAAGATGTAATTAATTTAAAGAAACCCACTGTTCTGTAGACTACATATGAGATTATTCCCCTCATAACTGAGCAAGACACCAACATAACATCACTTCTACTCAGTTTAAGCAAAAGAATGAGCTGTGAGATGTTTGAGAATCTATGCATGTTTACATGTTTGTGAGTTGTTTGATTTCTATAATTAATCTTCTTTAATGCTTTGTTTCCTCTGAGCAGTGTGGTTCAGTACAGTCCTGCATTTACACTGCCAATATTACCCTTACTAGATAGGTCTGGTGTGCAACATTAAGGTGAGATCAACATCATTCTTGCTCAAGGAGAAATCTGTACGGGTCATTCACCCATCAACTCTTTTGCAAACTCAAGTTTATTCTTCCAAATGTAAACTTGCAGCAAGTGCACATGAATAAAGAAAAGTGGCACCTCTCTTGCTTTTAGACACAACATGTAAACAACAATGGAGGACATACAGCAGATTCTGTTCTTCTTCTTGGCATGTGGATGTATGTGACATGACAAGCGTTGCTTGAGCTCGGGTTGACCATGGTCCATTGCTGCACACTGTCCGTGTGTTGTTATATTGTGGTGTTTCAGCTGTGTGCCTAAACATGCCACTTCCAGTGTTGCTGTTTCCCTTGTTGGATGTGTGATGATTTTCTGTAAGCCGATCAGCATTCAGCAGCGAGTCTATCTCCACTCTTTTTAGTGTTATGTTAGACACCCTTATAAGGGTGGCTTGATACGGTTTGCTATTTTGGTACTTCTGACAGTGGTCAGACACAGAAATTGTCTCATAAACATGTATGAAGTAACCCAGTACTCACAGCTCGGTCCATTCCTGCCAGTGGAACCATGGACATGTATAGAAATGCCTATAAGCATCACCAGAACCAGAGTCCCTATGTTTGATAGTCAGGGCTTCAGAATCTACCCTGGTCAATCATCATCCTCCAGCTCCATCTGCATTTAATTTCATTTAATTTCAAAAGCCTTTTTAAAATGGATCTGGCGTATCCCGGCTCACTGTTTGTGATTGTGGCCACAATTTAGTCTTTTGTGAATAACTTTTGGAAAGGCTAAAATCTGCAGTCTTTGATGATTAGTTTGATGTTCACCAACATCGTTTTAATGGCTATTGCAGTCTGATTTTCTCTCCAATTAAATTCTGGCATTGTCAGATTATCTTGGACTCTTGCCTGAATTGTCTTACAATGAGCATCAATCCAAGAACCAATAGGAGTGCAGAGTCTGAGGATTTATTCAGCGCAACAACTTCCAACCCCCTGGAGGACATGTCAAGACAGATTTTCTGGTTTTATTATCGAGGCATGTCATGAGAAAAGTTGAAACTACAGATGGTTTATGTTTGCTGTGAGGTATCGCTTGGGTTAGGGTTTATGAACGTCACAGACGGAAGATGTTTTACAGTGTGACATGGAGACCACATTTGTACTGCAGTTTATAATCTTCAGTATGAGCCAGATTCTTCAGTGGACTCTGCCTTCGCTCTGTTCATTCTACTCAATAGTTGCTTGCGGTAATGACAGTGCGCCATCTACAGTTTCAGACAGACCTCTGCATCTGTGCTCTGGTGTTTCCATCCCATTACTGTTTGACATATCTATAATGATTGAGAAGCAGTCTTCTAGCAGATGTTTCATACATGTTTGTATCCTGTGTAAGGTTGTGCTGTCTATGATGGGTGTGGGTCTGTTCTTGTTTGGGATCCCCATGACTGTGCATACAGACATAATGACTTCCGCAGATGTGTTCAGCCCCTTCTGGCTCGGGATTCTGGTATGTTTATCTGCATCTCTCTTTAGTTAGACCTGCTCAAAAAAATGCCATTAGTAGGTTAAAAGACACCACTGGTCTTAGATAAGACTATATCTATATATGAGGCTGGCATTTCACCCAGAGGAAACACATGCCAACACGGGGAGAACATGCAAACTCCACACAGAAACACCAACTGACCCAGCCGGGACTTGAACAAGCGACTATCTTGCTGTGAGGCACCAGTGCTAACCACTGAGCCACCGTGCCGCACATATGTTGTGTTTGGTTATTTATTTAAATATAAAGCTTTCTCTGTTGTCGTTCTTCTTGCAGCATGTGCGAGTGATAATGTTTTGTAAAGCAATCGGTGTTGGTGAATCTAGCTCCTGTTTTTAGCACTGTTGTGATAGATATCCTTGTGAAAGGGTCCCAAAAAAGGGGGGCAGTGCAGTTTGCTATCTTGGTACTTTTGACAGTGAAAACTAAATGAAATGCATACCGTACTGTACTGAACCATACCTCTCTGTGGAAACAAGCCAAAAATATAGTCTATGGCATTAACTTTATCATGCCGTTTAGCTCACAACAATGTACACAATGCAGTTCAGGCTTTGTAGAAGCCTTAGATTAAAATAGCATGGTTTAATGAGGCTGTTTTAAGTGTTCTGGTTGTCAAGTCTTCACACACTGTTCACGTTAGACTGAGTATCTGATGATGTTGAATCACTAAGCATCTTGTCTTCTGTGCAGTTCTGTGTCTGTGGCGTTTTGTACATACTGTCTGAACGCAGCCCCTCCAAAAAGATCGTAAGTGTTTTATCCATCATCCAGATATTCAGTAAACGTTTTCTGCAATCAAAGTGTAATTCTGTGCATGTGTGTGTGTGTGTGTGTGTGTGTGTGTGTGTGTGTGTGTGTGTGCTGATTGTCCACAGATTACCGCTAGTTTTGCTCTGAGCATCATCTCCACCATTGGAGTGGTCAGCGCTTGTATGGACTTCATCAAATCAATGGTCATAATTGAACGTCAAGATGAGTACACCCATAACAACATCACAGAGGATGACTACGTTTATCTGAGACAACACTATGTGAGGGGTTTTATTCACTTATTCATTTGTGTTGCTTTCATGACATGCTTTTATTACGTTGAACTTGTTTCTAGTGCAAATATCAAAAAAAAAAAATACTTACGTTTAAGGGAGTTTTTCTTTAAAACAAGCAAAATAATCTGCCAATGAGGTAAGAAAAACAGGTCACGCTTTATTCTGATGGTGTTTGTTGAATTTAAGTTACATTGCATCTACATGCAGCCTAATTCTCATTAGATTATCAGTAGACTGTTCACATGCATAACACTACGCATATACACTGACATATACTCACAAAGCTTCTTATAGTAAGTTATATGTGTGTTGAAGGAGCGGTTTCAGCAGCTTTTAAGCAGACTAATACTCAAGTTTACCATCAAAATAAAGTGTTACTAAAAATAATCTGATCAAGAATAAATGTTGACTCATTATTTCTGACAATAAGAAACAAGACAAAGACAAAGACAGCAAGTGAGTGTAGAAGCAGTGATTTATGATGCATGTTTGGAGTGAATAATTCAGCATATGTGCTCACACTCTCCTGTTTGTGTCCTTCAGAGTGCCGTGGTGGCGATGGAGTGTGTGTTTCTGTGTCACGGTTTAATAGGAGGAGTTCTGCTGATCATCATGACGTGTTTCGCCAGAGCAGCACTGCGCTCCAGCAACACTCAGGTCTGATCCTCATTCTTTTACGTTGTGAGCTAATAACAGCACCATCGAGCGGTTCATTTTATGATGTCGCATTAGATTATTAGATCACACTATGGGACACACTATCCACCATAAAGAGCTGGCTTACCATCTCCAGTTGGAGGAAAGTCTTTACCCCAGGTGGAGGAGGTCAAGTATATTAGAGTTTTGTTTATGAGTGGGGAAAGGATGGAGTGTGAGATTGACAGGCTGATCAGCACAGCAGTAATGCGCTTGACAAAACTCTCAATTTACCAGTCAAAGTACGTTCCTCGTATACAACTGACTGATATGAGCTCCATCAGCAGGGTGGCAGGGCGCACACTTATAGATATACTGTAGGGTGAGGAGCTCAGAGTAGATCTGCTGCTCCTCCACATCCAGAGAAGTCAGCTGAGGTGGCTCGGGCATCTGATTCAGATGCTTCCTGGACGCCTACCAAGGGGAGTGCTACAGGCATGTCCACCAGGAGGGGGTCTCGGGGAGGACCCAGGACACATTCCTCCAGCTCCTCTGGGGTGATCCAGGAGACAGTGTTTGGGGAGAGGGAAGTCCTTAGACTACTGCCTTATGACCTAGCACTGAATAAGCTGAAAAAAAAAATGACTGAATGAATGAATGAATGAATGATACAGTAACTGTAGAATCACCACAACAGAACTGAAGTACTTTACTACAGTATGGCTGAAGAACACTGCAGTGTTTACTATACTCTGCTACTGTGTTCCTCCCCATGGTTGTGCCTGATGTCTGTCCTGATCTCTGCAGGCTGTTGTTGTGATGCGGAATCTGCCGTCAGCGGAGTGAAGAGACCCAGATCATCTGAACATCCTGAACATCAGCTTCAGCAGCGTGGAGGAGATCTCTCATCGTCTCATCATCTTCTTAATGCACATCTACAGTATATCAATGGCATTATATCTCTCTGTTAGTGTTCAGAGTACTAGTGTTTTCACCAGCAATATAAACCACACATCAGTGCTCTTTCAGAGAGAAAAGCAAAGCAAACACAACCCTCACAGCAAACAATCTGCACTTTTACATTCTCAAAAGACTTATTTTGTCTGATTAATGAGTCATTTTCCTCATCAAGACCAAAAAAATCTCCCCACAAGGCCAAAATGACTAGTATTGCTATACTTGGGGAGACATTTAGTAAAGAACACACACGTACACACACACACACACACACACACACACACACACACACACACACACACACACACTTCATGAAACACATTATTCTGAATTTGCACGTATTAATATTATTTAACCACAATCTGTAAACATTACTATCATGTATTGATTTTAGATCATCTTAAACTCCAGCATTTACCTTTATATAGTCACATAAACTCTCATTAGAATCTGTAAACTGATTAACCAAAGCTAACAGGAACTAACACATGAGTGTACGGCTGGATCTATCTTGATTTTAGGTTATACACTAATAAAAGGGAGCTCAATGTCAAGTGTTCATTAATATTCTGTCCTATAAACACACAAACATACACTCAATGCAAACATATTCATATTCAGGAACGCTTTAGACACACATGATGAATAAGTGTTGAACAAATGTCCAAAAATATAAACCATTCTGTGTATTAACAAGAAACATGAACGCATGCAGTGTGTGTGTGTGTGTGTGTGTGTGTGTGTGTGTGTGTGTGTGTGTGTGTGTGTATGGAATAAAGGATCAAATGATTGTAAACACAACAGTCTCACAATAGGACTTTCTTCAAATCTTGCACTGACATTACCCAGCACAAACAGTTCCCAACAGAGCAGTGCACTGACAGAAGAGTGCAGTTCTTGGATTATTACACTGGATTATAGTTCCTTTAGCTCACGTGGGTCTGAACTCAGTCCTGGAGGGCCGGTGTCCTGCTGAGTTTAGCTCCAGCTTGCCTCAACACACCTGCAAGGGTGTTTCTAGAATGCTTGATGAGAGCTTGATTAGCTAGCGCAGGTGTGTCTGATTGGGGTTGGAACTAAACTTGGCAGGACACTGAACCTCCAGGAGTGAGTTTGGGCACCCCTGTTCTAGCCCACAGGTGTGAAGCTCAGTTCCTGGAGGGCCGCAGCTCTGCACAGTTTAGTTTTAACCCTAATTAAACACACCTGAGCAGACTAATTGAGTCCTGAAGACTTGTTTGATATCTACAGGTAAAGCTGCGGTCACACTCGTGTTTGTGTGCGAAATTCTGTCGTGCGGAGCTGCGAAAAGAGGCGGGATTAAACAAGATGATTAGACATTTAATAAAGTGAGCGATTGCTGTTTTGATCATCAGCTGGTCTCATGCAGTCAAGTGATGTGATTTTACAGGTCAGAGTTCACCAAGCTTGAACTCTGCAACTCAGTGAACTGAGAAACTTGTCACAAGAGCTTGCGTATCTGATCTGACACATTCACATGCGTATCAGTGGAAGTCTATGTGGAGAACAGTCTGTAGAGATTGAGACAGTCAGAATTTAGAGATTGAG